GATTTTGATCTGTAATCCTCCATAGATTTCTTGAAATTTTTCTTGATGAGGTGGAGAAAGTTTGAGGCTTGACTTCAAATTTTTTGGTATAAAGTTTATGCAGAAGTCCAGCCGAAACAAACTGTCAGGCAAACGGAAAATTCACTGGGGCTTTTGAAATTCCTCTTTGTTGGTGGGATTGGATTCTAGATGGATGCCGTTTAATATGGGAAAATGGAAATCAACTTGCCTCGTGAAATTCAAGGTTAAGATCAGTAGACCAGTCAAACAAACAGAGAGCACAATTTGGTCTCTATTTTTCAAATTTTATTTATTTATTTATTTTGGTAGGGACTCGTACACTATTTATGTTCTTTTTGGTGTAGCTTAAAAAATTTACTCAAATTCAACAATTAATTTTAATTTCATTTTTCATGAGATTCACAACTTTTTTATCACACATTTTTTCAACTTTTATCAAAATAAAAATAAAAAAAATCCGATTTTTAGTTAAATAAAAAATGTGCTATAGATGCAAGAAAATTAGCCTATTTGGTCAATAAACACTGTAGTCAATGCACTTCACACATTTTGCCCGTTTTGTGTAGCTTAAAATATTTTTAAAAATTTAAATTAAAGTCAAAAAATAATTTAGCTACATCTTTCGTGGAATTTAAAACTTTTCAACGATAACTTTCATCATTTTTGTTTTTATCAAAATCCATTAAAAATTTAATTTTTGGTAAACCAAACAGTGAATTTATAGAATTTAGGAAAATGACAGCTACAATCCTAAATCTTTCACTAACGAGGAAATGCTGTCAATTTCTTCTCCGAATGCAATAAATTGAAATGTTTGAAATTGTGATACCACAAATGAAACGTTAAGATAAAAGCTACAAGTCAATGAAAGGTATGAGACCGGCATTTTCCTTAGAATTTAAAAATAATATTCATTTCTTCAGTATTCATTTACCCGTTAAAAAGTTAAGGGTGGCTATATTTATACCACATTTTTTTTCTATAAATACATCACATATTAATTACATTAAAGGTCATTAACTTTTATTCATTATCACACTTATATCCTTAACTTTTTTCTTCACAACATTCTATTTTTAACATTACATTGATCAGAAATTATTATCATTAATCATGATTTTCGTCCAAAATTAAGAGCGTCAAATATTTAATCTCATTATCGCATTATTATTTGTTTTGTTTATTTTAAAATACAATGGACTAATTAGTCTTTTTACTTTATCTAAAAGAAATTTATGAAGAGAAATCAAAATTAGAAACAATTTAGACCTCGTTTGATAGCACACATTTTCCATTTTCCAACTTTCCAAATTTTTCACCTTTTTTGAGGAAAATAAATTTTTGATGTTTTGGTGGGTACATATTTTTCAGATTTTCTTTTTTTTTTTTTTTTTTTTTTTTTTTTTTTTTTTTTTTTTTTTTTTTTTTTTTTTTATTTTGCTTTTTTTTTGTTGCAATGTGAACAAATTCTAGATACAATGGTAAAAAAAATTTTCACTTTTATTGACAATTTCCATGCAAAACAAAGTCAAACGAATGATATTCGGTATGATAATTTTTTTTTTCAATTTTTTTTATTCTTTGACAATTGGAACAAATTCTAGACTTAATAGTAAAAAAAATTATCACTTTAATGAACAATTTTCATAAAAAATCGAAGCCAAACCGATACCAAACTTTCAACATTTTCTATGAAAAATTATACCAATCAAACACAATTATTTGCAATTCTCAGTAAAACAATTTCTAGGCAAATCAATTCCCTGTAAAACATTTTCTTTCCACCAATTTTCTACATTTGTAATCGAACGAACCCTTATATTAATTTGAGAATAAGGAGGGGATGAAAAAAGTTTGATACATAAATATGATAATATATAAAGATTATGAATATTTCATACAATCAAAATATAGTCTAATTATTAAAACAGTGGTTTGAATATATTGAGCCAAAAATAGTGTTATCAATCTGGCTCGTCGGCTCGAGCAGCCCGCAGCTCTTGCAATCGAGCCTTATTTTCGAGTGTTGGCCCGAGCTGGCTCGTGTCATCCACACCAATGGCCTATTTCTTGGAAATAAAGCAGCTACCTGCTTGCAAAGGTAGTCATAGCTGCCTTTAAAAATACGAAAAAAAAAAATTAGAAAAAAGTTAGTTCGGCTCAGCTTGAAAAGGCCCGCTCGATCCATTTTTACCCAAGCCACTCCTGAACTGTGAACTTTGGCTCAACTCGTTTACATCCCTATCCAGAAGTTAATGGTATCAAATTAGACATAGGGATGTTTTACCGGCCAAGCACATGTTACCGATAGACATAAGCTGTCTATATTTTTGGGCATCCTTATTGTTTTATTAATAATTTTCTTTTTTATTAATTATTTTAAAAGAAACAAAACTTTAAAAGCGATTCAGATGAGCTCGTTGAAATGGGTTATGCGTCTACACATCCATCTATTTTACACACATCTAACTTTGCCAGATGACTGGAGCATTCGATGGAAAAGAGAGAGACGCAAGAATAAGGGTTTATGAAATAGATACTAGAACTATATGTGATACGATACAAAATGGAGAAGAGTTCATGAAAAAAGTAAGATCGAGGTGAAAATAAGTAATGTTTCGAGGAGATTTTTTTTTTTTGGTTATTCTGGATAATTTTCTTAAATTTAATTAGATTAAGATTTTAATTCCATTTGGAATTACTCGTTACCTTTAATTCTTATCATTATCTAAAATCAGTCGTTATCTAGGAATTTAATCATTATTCAAATTATATGACTGCTTTAAATACGAATTGTAAGCCTCATGACAATTAGTTAAATTTGAATTTAAGCCCCTGTTTGAGCCACATTATTTTTTTTCATTCTCATTCTTCTACTCATTTTCAACCTCACATTTTTCAATAAAATAATATTTTACGTCACATCAATAACTTTTCCTTCTTTTTCAACCACGTATTCCCCATCACATCACTTCAAAAAAATGCATTCTCTCATTTTAATATGCACCAAACTAAAGAGTCTTAAAAAGTTTCTCAAAATTATTCTATCTTTCTCGGTATTTGATTTTTCTAATCAACAAGTTTGAGTGCTCGTGAGATTTTATTATTTCTCATAAACTTCCGCGACTTTAATATGCAACATGCTATACAAATTCATGATGTAGCAACATTTTTGGTAAAGTAATTATTCACATCAATAATTTCAATGGAGCATATGTTTGTTAAAGCTACTTTTTTAAATTTAGACAAAATTATGTCAATGTAAGAAAAGTTTGAGGCGTGAGATTGTTAATTATTCCTCTTTAAGGGCTTTACCAAAATGTTAGTTTTGCTTTGTATCAATCTCAATGAAAGAAAATGAAAGGCTGGAAAAAATTAAAGCGAGAAAATGAAAGGTTGAAAAAACCCTCTATTTTTGAATAGAAATAGAGGAATCTTTGAAAATATCCGCAGGATAAATAAATATACTAATTTCAAGTTTCATTATGTACACGAAAATTAAGTATAATAATTTTTTTTTTTAGTGGTCGTCATCATTTTTCGTGTGCTGACTGTGATTGAGCACCACCAAGCAGTGTTCTTAAAGTTTACTTATAATTTTATATCTTCAACGGTCTATATTAAATGGTTTATTCCCCATATACAGAAAGAAATCCACCAGAACACACACATTTGTGCTGGCACCACCATGTATTTAAAAAAGAAAAAAATGTCGCGGGACCCACAAATGTGTGTATTCTGGAGAAATTCTGTGGGCTTCTTTCTGTACAGCTAATAGATTTCTAAGTTAAATATGGCCTATTTTAATGAACACATTTCGCTCTTATCAAGTTTGGTTGGTAGATACACCTTTGGAGAATAGCTTTGTAGCATCGTTAACGATTAGCCCCCTTATCTTGACTGATTTGATGAGCCTGTTTGTTTTGGATTAAAATCTGATTTTAATTTAAATCAAAATCAAACAATCAATATCAATTATATTTTTCGTTGATCCCACCAATTTTCAACAACATATTTCAAACACTTTTATCACAATATACTAAAAATCTAAGTTCAATCCTCAGCAAACATCCTCGATATCTGCGCACACGACTAATCAAGAATATAATTTGGAGAAAAGATTTTAAAACTATTTAATTAATTATTAAAAGATTTTAAAACTGGATTAAACTTTAAAACTAGTATAATCAAGAAGATAATTTGGAGAAAAAGTGACATCCACCTTCTCAACGACACGTAATTGATCACATTTCGTTGATTGGACACCACAAAAGTAAGAAAGTGTAAGAATTTAAAGTCTCCTTTCTTTCTTTAAACGTTTGGAGTCGGAGATATTTTTAGTAGATTTTTTTGTATTTGGGTGCATAGTAAGCCGTCAAGGAAAAGTATAGCCTAACTTTCGCTTTTATTAAAGGGGTTTCGTATGCCTATTTTATTTAAAAATCCATCCACTATTTGTCAGCACATGTTTTGTAGAACTTAAAATTTTAATTTTAATTTAAATCAAAGTCAACAATTAAATTTAACCACATTTCATGAGACTCCCAACTTTTCAACCATATATTTTATTAACTTTCATAAAAATCTACAAAAAATTCAATTTTAATCCCTACCGAACAGGAGCTCGATAATGCAGACTCAACCTCAACAATTAAAAACTTTAGGGACCAACACTTCTCCTAAAAAAAATGGTAAAGCACACATAATTATAACCAAAATAGAATCCAACTTTAGAACTTGATAAAGAGTCAAACATCCAAATTTGTAGTTATTTTGGACAATTACAATACAGAAAAAAAAAAAGTACCCAAAATTTAGGAAGCGCAACCAAATTGGGAAATAATAAAGTCCACTTGGCAAATCATGGGACTTTGCATCTCCCAATCGAAAGTCCATTACACGTTTTAAACTAACCTAAGAAATGAGATAATAAATTACTGGAATTAAAGATCGTAAAACCTCGATGAATCAAAATTGCTTTAGAGAAGATCAGCAACATTAGCGGGCAGCTCCTCAACTACGACGTTATAGAACTTCTGTATGTCGAAAAGCATGCGCTCATCATCTTTGGTAACAAAATTTATAGCAACACCCTTCCTTCCAAATCGTCCACTACGTCCAATACGATGGAGGTAGTTCTCCGGCTGAGTTGGAAGATCATAGTTGATCACAAGAGAGACTTGTTGGACATCAATACCACGGGCCAAGAGATCAGTGGTGATGAGAACACGTGAAGAACCAGATCTGAATTCCCGCATAATGATATCTCTGGTGTTCTGGTCCATGTCTCCATGGGTGGCAGAGACAGTATGATCACGGCTTCGCATTTTGTCGGTGAGCCAGTCAACCTTACGCCTGGTATTAACAAAGATGACACTCTGTGTGATGGCCAAGGTCTCATAAAGATCACAGAGGGTTTCCAGCTTCCATTCCTCCTTTTCAACATTAACATGGAATTGCTTGATACCCTCGAGGGTCAGCTCATCACGTTTCACAAGAATCCGCACAGGCTTGTTCATAAACTTTCGAGTGATTTCAAGAGCCTCTGGAGGCATTGTCGCAGAGAATACACCAACTTGAATCTTAGGTGGCAGAAGCTGAAAGATATCATATATCTGTAAGGAACAGAAGCCTTAATTAGTAACGTGACAACGCATTTACAGAACGTAGCTGAAATCAATTATTAGGTAAGCTGCAGCTAATAGCATTATTCAGAGAGCACAGCAACGACATGATAATAACATAAACAAACGAAACTGACATATTACATAGATTCCTCGGTCAAGACTCAACATTAAGCAAATAGTGAACATCTGAGCTTCAAACACAGGAATGATTAACCATGTGTAAAAATAATGAAAACAAGCTGAAAAAAATACACCAAAAAGCAAATATAAAGCAAAAAAACCTCACATATCAACTGCCACCAACATGAAAATGACACAAATAAAAAACAAAAGATAACAGACCTGATCCTTAAACCCTCTTGAAAGCATTTCATCCGCTTCATCCAGCACAAACATTTTAATGTAATCAGGGCGAAGAGACTGCCGTCGCAACATGTCAAACACACGACCAGGGGTACCAACCACAACATGAACCCCACTGGAAAGAATACGCTGATCTTCACGAACACTGGTTCCTCCCACGCAGGCATGAACCTTGACACCAAGATAATCACCTAGCGCTCGCATGACCTTCTCAATTTGCTGTGCAAGCTCACGGGTTGGTGCAAGAACCAACGCCTGGCATTCAACAGTTCCATAGTCTAGCTGCTGGAGAATTCCAGAGCAAAAGGTTGCAGTTTTGCCAGTTCCAGATTGTGCCTGTTGAATCACATCAAGTCCCTTGCAGAAGGGAACAATCCCCCTTTGCTGAATTGCAGAGGGCTTCTCAAAACCTTCAACATAATACAGAGAAAACCGTAAGCTGCACTAATTTCCACATAGAAAGAATAAGGCCCTGTTTGGTTTTGCTAAAAATCAGATTTTTAGTATGCGGTTGAAAAGTTGATAAAGTTGTGGGTACCATGAAATGTGTGATTAAAATTAATTATTGACTTGGACTCAGATTTTATCAACTTTTAAGCTAAACCAAACAAAGGGTAAAGGAAAATAAAAAATAACAAAGCATAAAACTGAAAGGAAGTAAAATCCAAATGCACATATTTACACTCATATGTCATCAAATTGAATACACAGATTAAAAATAGGAAAAAATTCTAGGTTTGTAGCTTATACAGGGCATTGCTAAAGATTTAAAAGACAAAAAAAAATGAGATACTTAATAAAGTAGACATGACATAGAAAATGAACTCGAGAGATGTATTCTCAAAATAGAACATTTTTTTCTAGTTCTTGGGGAGAACAGAAAATAAATAATGTGCAGAAAAATATTCAGTACGACATAAAAAAATTGTTTCAATCTACCATAAGCATAGATGCCCCTAAGAAGATTCTCTTGCAAACCCATAGCATCGAAGCTTTCATAAACCTCATCATAACTTGTGAAGAATTCCTCACCACCATCGGTTCCAAGTCTGCAACCATTAATTCAGAAAACCAAAAAAGTGTACCACGATCACTTTCATGATTGAAAAATGGAATAAATAAATCCTAAGATCATAGTATGGAAGATTAAATTAAAAAACATATCAAACCACTTTTTCCAAGCCTGATACGCTGATAGTAGCAAATAACTTACAACTCATTCATCTTGGTGTCAAATTGTCTAGCATCAAACTGAGAACCTTCAGAAGCCATTCCAGATATGACTGCAGAAAGTAAATGAAATAATACCTCAATACATAGAAGGCGTCTAACAAAAAGAATGTATAGTGGAAAACCATCTCATAACTGACCCATGCAAACAATGGCAATTATTATATTGAACTGCCATGGATTGAAACTCACTTGGCATAATTGTGACATTATCCAATTTCACAAATAAAGATAAGACTGAGAAGCACGATGTCATGAAAACAAAATGCAAATAAGTTGAGAATTATGCAAACGCCACAAGTATTATGGTTCCAGCTACCATAGGACACAATGATAGCAAACCATTCAAGATGTACTGACAACATGTGCAGAACTGTAAGGATAGGTTAAAAAGGGAAGGTACTATCCCAACTTCCTGCTTCGAGATAGTTATTAGTGTTGTTACATGATTGGCCTTCAATGAATATGAACTACATACAAAAAACGCCTCACAGGATAGTTACAAATTCACTCAAACTGATATTTCGTCTAACATCATAAATTACATTCCTTGAACTGCATAAAAAGCACGCACACAAATATAAAAGTTCAAATCCACCTTAACACTTCCATAAGATAATCAACCAGTCACATAATCAAAATCCGATTCGCACACCCATTACAGCAAAATAAAAAGATTCAGAAAACTGGAACCACTATTGCTACGAGAACTCTAAACAACTACAAATCAAGTAAGAATCGAGAACACATTCCAAATCAATACGATACAAAGAAAACCCTTTAAATCCATATTTTTTTATTCAAAATAATAAATAACTTTATAAACAAATAGATCCATATAAACAACCTCAATAAATAAAAAGAATAAAACAGAACTCTTTCATCACAATAAATCCTCAAACAGTCAAGACGTCTCTTCATATATTCATTCAAACAAAAACAATCACGAAATTTGTGCATATAATTACATATATGTTACCTGATCGCAACAAAAAAAGTGAACTTGAAGAGAGATCTGAACCACAAAGGATTCGCTTTTTTGAATTTTTCCAAAACTCCTCGGATCTACGCCGCGGAGTTGAGGAGGAGACTGTAAGGAGAGACTGGGAAACGATGTTCTGCTAAAATTTGCTGCAAAGCGAGTCCTTGTAATTTTAGGGTTCTCTTTAGTCGAATTTCCTTTTTTGTCCCTCTTATTATAATTCCGTAGGTACCTGTATCGCGGGTATTGTGTAGCGCACGATGTCGTTTTTCAAAATACGAAAAGGAAAATATTCTTATTTCAGGTATAAGTTATATGTCAATTCAAAACTCTGACAATAAGTTTAAATTTTCAAATTTCATGTAATAATTAAATAATTAAAAATATTTTATGAAATAAATATATTAAGGTCACGGTTATACAATTAATGGTCACAATTACACACTTATAGGTCACAACTTATTTATTGATCACATATTATCAAATTAATTGATCACAAATTAAAAATATTATAGTCACAAATCACAATTTTTAAAGATCACAACTTATTTAAAGATCACAACTTCTGCGTGATGTGGCACAGCGCTGCAGCTATGCGAGGCGATGTTGTGCCTCCGATGTCGCAATGTGATGGCAGTGTTGGGAGAATGGTGGATGGTTGTAGCGAAATTGGTTCGGTGTGGAGGAGAGAGAAGTGGTGGTGGAAAAGAAATAGGTATATGGTATATGACGGGGATGAGAGAAATAATTTAGGGTTTGTAGTTAGGTCGAGGTGGATAAATTTTATAATAATAATAATAACTCAATTAATACTTGATTTTTGGTTAAATAAATCTCACACCTGATTTTTGAATTAAAAAATTTATACACTTGTTAATATGTAATTCCCTCGTAGGAAAAACTATGTGTGGACCTGCATCTATGGGCCATAAATCAGTCAATCACTTGGCTTGAACATGCTTGTACAACATAGGCTTGGAATAAATCGTAAGTTTGAAAATTATGGCCTAGCTCTTCAACCTTTTCAAGTAGCATAGTTGAATTTTTAACTTTTTAGAGTGATGTTATGGGTCTCTCAATTATTTAATATGGATCTCTATGTGACAGAAATGATCATGTGAAAATTACACCCAATCAAATTTTTTAAGATCCAACTTAAAAAATTAGATCAAAGTTTGTTTGTACAAAATCTGATGACAATTAAATTTTTAATATTAACAATAATATTATAAAATTAAATTAATTTACATATCCACTCACACCATCAACTCGTCCAACCCGATTTTTACTCTAAAATCCTAATCACTTTCCTCTCCCTTCTATTTCGCTCCACCTCTTCTTTCTTTCTTCTCTCTTTTATAACTCTGGAATGACCCACTGTGGTGCGCAGCTCTCCAACAATTTATCTCCACCGCCAAGCGCTACAGCGACTCATTGTACGCAGTGGGATGCAACATCGCTGTGCGGTGACTCTCTGCTCGCAATGACACCATGCACATGTTTGATGGTGGTTTTCTGACTATCGCGCACAACGTTGTTGGTTTGTTGGTGGTTTTCTAATCTATGGGTGGTACTCTGATGGTGGGTCGATGGTTTTCTGTGAGTGGTTTATCGGTGGTTGTTTGTGGGTGATGATAGTGTTGGTTGTTCAAGTGGTGGTGGTGATGGTAATAGTGGTTCTATTGGTGGTGTTGCAGGGGGTGGTGGTTTTGTCGATGATAGAACATGTGGCGGTAGTTCTATTGGTGGTGCGGGTAGTTGTGATGGTGTGTGGTGCAGCATTTTGGTTGTTGATGGTGTTAGAGTGGTGCTTATGGCGTTGGTGTTGCTTGCGGTTGTGGTGGTGGTGGTGGTTATATTAGTGGTGTAGGTGGTCGTGATGGTGATGTGGTGCAGCCTTTGGTTGTTGATGATTTTGGAGTGGTGGTGGGATGGGGGTCGGGTCAGGGGTCGAGAGTATTGTGACCAATTATTTGGTTGATTGACGAATAAATAATACTCGTGATTGACGAAATAGGTAATTTGCGATCAATAAATAATACGTCACCTAAAAATGTGAGATTTTAATTAATTTGTAATTGTGACTTACAATTTGTCAAGTTGTGACCAATTAATTTAAAGTTTGTTTGGGAGGGATTAAAATCAGATTAAAATTGAAAATATAGTCGTTATTGTTGACTTTTATTAGACGGATGGGACCCAATAACGACCATATTTTCAATTTTAATTGGATTTTAAGCCCTCCCGAACAGGGCAAATTTAAAGTTTGTTTGGGAGGGATTAAAATCAGATTAAAATTGAAAATATAGTCGTTATTGTTGACTTTTATTAGACGGATGGGACCCAATAACGGCCATATTTTCAATTTTAATTGGATTTTAAGCCCTCCCGAATAGGGCCCCTTAATAATTTGTAGCCAAAAAAAGAACTTTTGACCAATTAATTTGATAATTTGTGATTTATTAATGACTGAGAAATAATTTGTGATCAATTAATTCGATAATTTATGATCAAATAGTATAAAATTGTGACATTGATATATTTTATTAATAAAATGTGTTTTAAATTAATTATTTCATAAATAAGTTTTAATTAATATCTGATTTTTTAAGTTCAATCTTGTTTTTTAGTTTTGAAATGGGTTATACTTAATCTCTTAAATATGAAATTTTTCCAATGATCAATATAGACATTAAAGCCGCATATAACTCTTATATAGCTTATAAAGTTATGCATTAAGCGGTTTGATAATTTTGTCAAATAATTTTAAGCCGTGTAAGTTTTAGCATATTTCCTAATATTTTTGTCATATGATAACTCAAATTCACAAATTGAAAATACATTGGGGTTCCAAAACTTCACTTTTGAAGGTTTGAGGCCTAAAAAACCGTAATAATCGTAATAATTGAAAAGTTAGGGAACTCAATCCTAATTTTTCCAATTTTATAAATGTTTTAAAGCTCTCTTTAATATGCATACATATGACCATCTATTGCATGATTATATTATACTCTAATTATTCTTAATTGTTTTCGTGCAAGAAAAGTTGATGATATAGTAGATGTTCGAGTTGAGAAATTGGAGCAAAGAAAGTAATGTACAGTGTATCAGTGGGCTTGTTTGAAATTTTATCAAATTCGACTACAAAATTCCATAACACAATAGAGAATCATTTTAATTATATAATAATACGTAACGAGGATGGATAGAAAGCCAAATAACGAAATAGTATTTAAATCACGATCGTGTCATTGTCAAGCAACGTTGTAGATATATATAATCAAAATTAACGTGCGGTGGAATGGATTTTGATAACAAATATCTATAACATATGCAGATTTCAGTGTATGTTCATTACGATAGCACTGTCTAGAAGTTAAAAGGCAAGTAAATTGAATAATGAATTGGCTCAAGCTTGATGACTTCATTCAGCCGTAAGGAGGTATAAATATTTACATCATGAAGGTTCTAGATGATACAATGATTGGTTCCTTGATTCAAGGAAGCTGTTAGAATATATTACAACAAACTTGGCAGTGGGAACACAATGGTGAATGCTGTTATTGTGAGTGTTGATATGGAGCACAGCTGATGTGGAAATGGATGCTGAGCTGGAGTATTGTTGTCACATTAATTCTTAACACCCCCCTTCAAGTTGGAGCGCGATGGAGTGACTCCAAGCTTGTCTTTCAAGAAGAGGAACCTAGAGTGGGAGAGTCCTTTTGTCAGCAAGTCTGCGATTTGATCAGAAGAGGGAACATACTTAACTTCAAATTCCTTTTTCAGCACTTTGTCTCTAATGAAATGAACATCTAATTCAATATGTTTTGTCCTTGCATGGTATACTGGATTGGCTGCCAAGGCACCGGTACTCATGTTGTCACACCAAAGAATTGGAGTTGGTCCAAGTGGCAATTCCAGCTCCTTGAAGAGTGATTGAATCCAGGATATTTCTGAGGCTGCTGAAGCAAGTGCTCTGTACTCAGATTTGGTGATTGACCTAGCAACTACATGTTGCTTCTTTAATGAACAAGCCACCAGATTTTCTCCCAAATAAATACAATATCCGGCTATTGACCTCCTATCACCTGAACAGGAAGCCCAGTCAGCATCTGAGTATTCGCTTAACTCCATTATGTTGTCTTTTTGTATCCAAAGTCCATGATTGATTGTTCCTTTAAGGTACCTAAATACCCTTTTTAATGCTTGCCAGTGAATTGAAGTGGGAGATTGCAAAAATTGGCTCAATTTATTTACCGAAAAAATTAATATCAGGTCTGGTGTGAGTTAGGTATTGTAGCCTCCTACAACACTTCTATAAACTGATGGATTTTTCAATGTTTCACCATCAGCCTTAGAAATTGTTTTTCCTGCAGGAATAGGAGTTGGACAACGTTTCAGATTTTCCAGTTCAAATTTTCTGAGTAGCTCACCAATATATCTTGTTTGAGTGAGATGAAGTCCTAATTCATGCCAATGTACTTCAATTTCCAGGAAATGATGAAGCTGTCCCATATCTTTGAGTGTAAAACTCTTGTTCAATTCATTTATAAATCTCTGCATCAGCTCTGAGTTGTTACCTGTTACCATAATGTCATCCACATAAATGAGTGCAAAGATTATTTGCCTTTCTGTTTTGAAATAGAACAAAGATGTGTCTGCAATTAACTGCTTGAACTTCCAGCTCAATAACGTTGATTTTAGCTTGTCATACTAGGCCCTTGGTGCCTGTTTTAGTCCATAAAGTGCCTTTTCTAGCTTACAAACATGGCTAGGTTTCGATTGATCTTCAAAGCCCTCAGGTTGATATATGTAAACAACATCTTCAAGCTCACCATTTAGAAAAGCATTATTTATGTCCACCTGTCTGATTTTCCATCCTTTCGATACTGCCATGGAGAGTATAACTCTTAAGGTTGAGGCTTTAATCACTAGACTGAAAGTTTCCAGGAAGTCTATACCAGGTTCTTGATGGAAGCCTTTTGCTACCAGCCTTACTTTCAATCTCTAAACAGAGCCATCTGAGTTCCCTTTTACTTTGAAAACCCACCCATTTCCAACTATATTGTAGTCTGGTGATGAGGGAACAAGTTTCCAAGTCTTGGTTTTCATCAGGACATTGAATTCTTCTTCCATGGCCCTCTTCCATTCCTTACTTTGCATAGCTTCAGTGAGATTTTTTGGTTCAGATATTTCAGAGATACCTTCAGATGATTTTCCCAGAAATGCCTTTGGTTTGAAAACTCCTGCTTTCCCCCTTGTAATCATAGGGTGTGCTATCAGAATTTTTGCTTGTTGTTGAAGTTCAACTTGTTGCTGGCTGGTTGTGAAGTTCGTTTCAGCCCTTTCAGTATTATGAGGATGTTCTGTTTCTATTTTCACATCTTGGTTTAATTCTTGGCTGCTCATATTTCTGATTAGATCAATGCTTCTACTTTCATCCCCTTCATTACTTGTTCCTTCAAACTGATTGTTATGTAAGCTAGGACGTGGATGATGTGCTGCATTGGTTGCCTCTGGAAGAACTGTATCAGCAGGACTTGTTATAGGTTGAATGTTATGTGGTTGAGGTGGAAACTGAAAGTAAGATACTATGGTTTCTGGGTTAACAGAGTTTTGTTGGCTTAGACTTGAAAACATAGATTCAAAGGGGAATTAGAGTTCACTAAAAACTACATGCCTGGTGATATAGACTTTACCTGTTGAAGTTAGGCATTTGTACCCTTTATGAGACTCACTATAGCCAATGAATACACACTTGGTTGAATGAAAGCTGAATTTATGTTTTTGATAGGGCCTAAGACAGGGGTAGCAGATGCAACCGAAAATTTTCAGAGATTTGTAGTCAGTTTCTTTTCCATAAAGAGTCAGGAATGGTGATTTCTTCCCAAGTACAGGGGTAGGCAATTTGTTGATGAGGTAAGTGGCAGCTTGAAAGGATTCCCACCAGTATTTTAATGGCATTTTTGCTCGTGCTAGAAGTGTGAGCCATGTTTCTGTGATGTGCCTATGCTTCATTTCAATCCTACCATTTT